CCCGTTAAATTACAAACTTGAAAAATCGGGGTTTAAATAATATCAATTTCTCCATCTTAAAAGTGTCTAGGAAATAACGAATCACCTCTTCGCTATGATTAAATAGGATTAAGCATTGGCATTACTTTATTGAAGGAAGTATATACGATTATATTAGGTTAGAAATGGTGACACGCGCTGAGTTGCTTTGCCGGTATTTGTAATAAAAGCAAAATTAATTTTTGCATAAGCACAACACAATAATACATTTTTGAAAGTTTTTCTTGTCTGAGACGACTACAGAAAATTACCAAAAACATTGTCATCGAAAATCAAAATGAAACACGAATGACAACAATAATAATATAGCAGTAGGTATGTTAGTATATTACATTTAGTAGTATTCAGTTTTTAGTGAAATGTTATTATTATTATTGTGTTACACACACGTTTATGTTTAACAAATGTCTAGTACAAAAAACTTTGAACGTCTTAATGGTGTGTATTATATGCATTGCTTTTAAGTTTATGCTTAAAAAACACAATGTGAATAAAAAAAGGAAATAGTCACGGTCGTCATGAGAATATAATATGCTAAGTACCCTTATCCAGTGTAACTTTTCCGCTATCTCGAGGTACATGACCCATATTAGTCTGTCTTTGAACTGCTCAAAACTTTTTGTTTCGTATGTATATGAGTTTCCTTTATGTACGAATCACACTTCCATCGCAATACCCTTGGCATTCCTTTCGCACTCAATCAAGAAACAAAACTTTTATTTCTTAGAAACGGAGCTCTATTTTTCGTGTCCACGGATACTCTATATGTACCTATATATATTTTTTTGTTGCTACGAATTCTCTAAAATTATTGTATGCGTTGTCGCTGCAGTCGAAAATAAAACTCGAATCGATATATTTAAATACATATTTCGTTTTAACTGTATTGGTCCGTTTGTTAAACAAAATTTATTTCGTTAATTATTGAAAAACAAAAACACAAAAAAAAGATAACAAATTATAATTTATTAGAAATAAATATATATTATATTCAATTAACATACTAGGTAATCATATAGATGAAACCTACCAGCAAATTCATCTTCTATCATTGCTCATTTCTCGTTTTTCAGTTTTTTCACTATCTGTCCAATGCTGTTCACCGTAAATTAATATTTATTGAAATTATTTTAATTTTTTTTTTAAACTATAAATGAAACGTTGACGAAACGAATCGTTAAATATGTTTCTCATGTATCAATTTTTATTTTGTGTTGTACCTACTTTTGAGAATTTAACCAACCTATTTTATACTCCCGTCGCTTCTCCTAGCTGCAAGAGAACGATTAAAACGATTTAAAATGGTTTACACAAGTGTTCAAGGTTCGAGAAAAATCACTTGCTGTAAAAATCGTTTTTTAGTTTTTCTAAAACTTTTAAACTATAAATAAAAATAAAAATTACAAGTTATAAACACATGATAATATTATAATATCACACGAGTTTAGATTAGGTAACACGTTGACCTTTTTAACAAATTTAAATAGTATTTTTAAACTATGAATTCCTGTACAAATAAAACACACGGTATCGTCACCTTCGTATTATACTAATACGTGATTGATGTTCGAAAATAAAACAGTGTATCGTTGTATTTTTAACGTCCACCATTTTCTGGTCAAGTCGATAAGTTACTAAACGTTGTAAATCAGGTTCGCAGTGCACAAGCGCGACAGCTGGCATCGGACCACGAGAGCTAATCCTATTTGTGTCGCTATTTGTATCCATTGCAAATCACGTCGGCATAATATAGGTAACTATAATAAGTAACTATTAATATATTAAACGGTTCACGATTTCCGGGTTATATCTGGTTTACACCACTGGTAAATCGCATAAAACACACGTGCCACGCACCATGTACAACGATGATCATATAATAACATAATATATATAATATTATGTGTACTTATATATTATTATATATAAAGGTTTGAGTAACCGGTGAAAAGGTTTATTGTACGTGATGTCCAAGTCTTATATTCGAGTATTATAACATCGTATAGTACGTAGAATACCGATAATAATAATAATAATAATAATGATAATAATAGTAATAAAATAACGACGAAAATGTCGAAAACGTGATGTCGCAGGCGGCGGCGGGCCGTGCAAATGATACAATGTGTGCTACAGAAATAATGCAACGGTTGTGGGCGCGAGCGATAAGTCTACACGCGCACAATCACACATGCACATTGTATAATATGTCGTGGAGGCAGCGGTGGCAGTAGTAACCGCAGTAATGACGGTCCTATCGTCAGTGGCGGGGCACGGACAGACACGATGTATATATATTATTATTATTATTATTATATTATAGGCTATAGCGATTTCGTCCGTGAGTCGGCCAGATTGAGCTAATCCGACGGAATAATAATAATAATAATAAGCGGCAGTCCGCATTCAATGGCACGAACGCGCTCACACCTCACACACGTGTCCATTTCCGACGGCGATCTCCGTCAACGGGTATTGTCATTATTATTATTTCGTACGATGTATATGATTGTAATAATAATAATATTTAACTACGGATGTCGTTGCAATATACTGCGTAACGTCGAATCGGACGTTGCGCGTACGACTACGATGACTGAAGAATATACGTAATATGTGACTGCACGAGGCTACAGAGTGACGAATATAGTACGGGTCATCGTTTTGAAATCGAAAGAAAATAGAAACATCCGGCGCGTACAAATTTGGAGTGTTTGGTCGGTCGTGTACGCGTTTCCATGTATCCGTCATTAGGTTTTTTAAATTATACATCGGCGGTGGCGGGTGGTGGCGTAACGCGTGTGTTACCACGGTGCAGACAGCGGGAAGTGGATGGGCCCTTAAACACGAAAATCAAATCATTAAACGTAACGAGAAATCAATAAAATAAAAAAAAATCGTAATAATATTAATTATACAATGAATGTTTTCTTTTGTTTAAATTTGTCTGAGACGCAATAACGTCGTACCTACGCTTAAACATTATCATTTCGAGCCTTTGTTTTTATTTTATAAGATCCTGCATTTGTTTATTGACATCATGATGAATGAACTGTGAGAACCTCAATCTAAGCAGTTGGCCACCGAGTGTATGTTATCATTAACATGACGGCCAAAAGGTCGTCGTAGTAATGCTCAAGAGTCGTGTAGGGCCATGATGGGTACCCGATCTCATAATATATTGTTATAGTCTGATTTTGTACGAGGAGTATTGTAAAACATGCTATTGTAAGACGTTTTATTTTTATTGCCATCTCGTGACGCATAGTTATATTAATAATAATAATAATAATACAGTAATTATTATTTCGTGTCTATATTATAATATTATATGTTTAACAATAATAACACACACGTGGAAATAAAGAGTCACCGCGGGAGGACAATCATAATATCATATTAATTATTATCATGATAATTATTAGAGGTCTATTATATACGGTAGGTATATGATATTATAAATAGCCAATAGGATTATAATAAATTGTTTTAAAACTTATCGTATCACAAAATTACGATAGTAATATAATTATATATTATTTATAACAAGCAATATCTCTAGTAATGCAGTCGTACAATTTTTTTTTTCTATCTTTTTACCATCGCATTTTTAATATTATGTTATTTTATATATTATATATATTAACCTGCACGTCTCTCGACACCAAATTTTTCTTCGTATAAGTAGTCACTTACAGTCTTTTCATCTTCGAAATTCGAAAAAAAAATACACATGTGCTACGAATGGTTGACGAATCTTGCCCTCTTCCCCCACCCCGCTAAATAACAAACGTTCGCGCCGTCGCCCGTTTATCCGACGTCTGACTGACAAACGCCAGAGACTGTAATAATAATAATAATATCACACACGCGACTGTTATTATATTATCACACGCGCGAGTGTCGTCTCGCTGTCCGTAAGTCTTCTCTTATTTTTTAGACAAGTATTGTACGTATTATTACGACAGCGCAGTATAAATAGTATGTATTAATATATTAACGCGTAACACCGTCGGACGACAACGGCGGGAACGCTAAGTATTTTCTTTTTGGACGCGACGTCGTGGTCCACGGGATTTGGAAACAAAATATATAATCCCATGACAATGTGCGCAACAGGTGTCCGTATCATTTATCTGTATTTTTCCATCTAACATCTACACTCGCTCGTCTCTCGCGATACGCGTGTACGCGACGACACATTCCCCGGAATACGATTCCGATCGGAAACCAGCCATTGTGTCCACACTCTTCACGCGGGATAATTTCAAAATTAGACCAATCTCGTACATCTCCAGACTCCCGTATACTCGAGTTCGCTTATTTCGCAGATTTTTTTCGCGTATCGGAACGATATAGGTACAAAGTATAATATTATGCGGTGATAATAATATCTGTATGCTTATGATGCAGACATTTCTCACGATTTCGCGTATGGCGTTTTAAGTCTCATATTAGCGTATTGCGACGGCTATGACATTACAGCTCGGCCGCACGTATTTACGACGGCTGTTGTTCGCCAGATTAAAATTAATAATCGTACGGCGACTACCGCAGCATAATATAATATTATTATCTAGCAAGAGAAATACTCAAACTGTTATTGATATTATACGTTGTGTCACCGGCGAGATCCGCCGAAACGAATAGTGCCGTCTCTGATATATATATATATATATATGTATACTGATATATAAAGGTTTATGTATGTACAGATTTCAACGAAGAGATCACTCCTGCCGCTTAAAAACACCAAAATAATATTTTATTCGCCGGACGTTCTGTAGACGCATATTATAATAGCTGCTTATTCACAATCGTTTAATAATTTATCGATAACGACATAAATGGTCAACATTATAATAATTATTATTATATTATCGTTATAAACGTATTGCCCGACAAGACCGATTTTCGTAATGAAATTAATTGGTTGATATTAAATCAATAAACGTCGATGACGAATGACGTGGTGTGCGCTGCGTGAAATCGTTCATTTCGTCGTAACCGTAATACAGCGAGAAAAACCGAAATCCTATCGAATCAATTTGCGGTTTAACGACAATCGCAGTACCTATATATTGTTATTTATTTAGTTTGTAGTGCGACAGCGGTTTTCTCCGTTTTCCGCCCATTGTACGCGTAACGTCGTTGTCGACATCAAAATATTACAATACATTTCGTTCTAGCGGTTATCGCCTGTTAGCCGCAATACGTTTTCGTGAAACACGTCCGGCTCAGCCTTTATGTTTTCCACCGAAGACCGCCTTTAGAGGTACCATTAGACGTGGTTTATTATTTGTTCGTCAACGCGATACACAAAACATCATACAATACACTCGTACACGTCATATGTGTCGGTAAGTATTTTATTTTTTGATTTTTGCACAATGTCGCGCCGTTTTAGTGCACGTGCACGCCCACACACAACATCGTTTACAACAATAATTATAACGACGTTTTGACTCGTGAACACTGTTTATCGATGCTCATTTTACTCGACAATACGACCTATACATAGTGCATATCCATCAAGAGCATCTAACGGAGAAAATAAAACTTCGTGTTACTTACTCAACTGTTTTGTATTCTACGCGGCCAGTTCGTCCCCAGCCTGCACTAGTCGTAGTGTATTTCCACGTAGTATTCTCGTCGAAATCGATTTACATCAATTCGTTTGCGTTACACAGCGTGATATATACACGCTTAGAAAATTGTGTAGGTAGCTACGTGACCGAGTCGAACGTAACTTTACCTACATTATAATACATCATAGGTAAATAATATAATACCATAATATATAATGTAATGCCGGTATACGCGGTGATATATTATCGCCGTGGCCCGAACAACTGCAGCGGGTGCACGGCAGCGTTATAATAATGTATTATTATAAATTATAATATTACAGTTTTCGAACTGTCGTCTCGGCGGCCGTGGGCTAGGGTGGAAAACCGCCGAATTCCCTCGAATTCCCGACTGCGGCGGCGGCGGCGGTGGGGTTAGTTTTGCCTCGTCGGTTCGCGTACATGTAGTAGGCCATACAATATATATTATAACGATCTTAAACGTACAGAATATGCCTACCTGCAGCAAGATCTATAGAGCGGCGAGAGAATGTTTTTTTCTTTTTCTTTTTACCGCCCTGCGAAGGCAATAAATTACGACGGAAGTGGCGAAAAGGCATGGGCATAACCGGTGTAATTAATAAGGAACGTTGAGGGATTTTCATTTGTTTTAAGTGAGACGACCTCGGTCGCTCCGGGACCGTTTCGCCGACGACGACGACGTCGACGACGATGATGCGGCTCTCGCTGTACGAATATAATTATTATTACGGGCGCGATAACGAGAATACTGTATAAATGAATAATCTATTATTTTACTAAATCTTTGCGGAATTTGGCGTGAAAAAAAACAGCGACAATACGTTAGGCTGTTACGTACCTTACTTGACAAATGTTTGCTACGCTCTATACTCCAAATTTGGATATTTAAAATTTTCATTCATGATTATTGTCAATTCTGAACTCTCTGAGTTACTGCAATGCGCCAATGCCTATTGAAACCGAAAGACGTTGTAAATTTATTTTTATAAGAATTGTTGACATTATAACATATATTATTATTAGATAAGCTATGATATTGTTGATATTGATGATTTCATAACTATAAAATACATATAAATTAGTTTTTGTTTTGGAGAAATATAATAATATGGAAATATTATTCATTAAAAACCTCTATTCAAAACGGAACACATAACGCAACTGTTAAATACAAATATAATTAAGACCGTTAAACTATATTTATTTTCCGCTTATATAATTGTTAATTAAATGCTTAATTTGGAAGTTTAAGTTCCAATTTTATTTTATCTGACGGAACGAATAATTATTTATTTAAGCTATTGTTAATTATAGCTCAAAGTCATGTTATTCAAATACTAAATTGTTATGTGTCTAGGCTGATGTAGATTATGTAATAATAATATTTATATTTCTTGATTTAACTTTGTGTATTAAGAATCAATTATAAGATGTTGAAAAACGTAGTATGAAAAAAATTTAACTAAATTAAAATTATTAACATTCGGTCCTGCGTGGCGTATTAATATTGTCTAACAATACACGTGTTTTCGACTTGTAACGATTTTAATTGTTGTTGGGAAATTAAAACAAATAATTTAATTATTTTTAAAATATTATTTAGATAACTTTTTATTTTTTCATTGAACCCACATTTTTAAACCATCCGCTTTATAAATTCCACTAAACATATTTAGAGTTCACAGAATAACGTCGCATTACAAAGTCAAGATCCTTAACAAACCTCACAAAAAAAGTAAAACAGAGAAAATCCCAATGAATGTTAATAATATTTTTATTACGTATACGATCTCTGTATTTTTTTAAATTATTTAATTCTGTACGTCGTGAATCGTACAGAAAATTATCTAAAAAATAATACTGTCCCTGCAGATCAGCTTATCAGTAGGTTATCACTTAAAACAATCTTGTTTTGAACGTTAATAGTTTTATTAAATTATTATCTTTCGTATTTAAATGATATTTCTACGAATAGCTATTGATAAAAGCCAATGTGACACTACTGACACTAATTATTGTTCACTACCAATGCGTAATCTTTTTTTAATAATATATTATAGCAGTATAAATAAATTGTATGTCATATATGTGAAGTTTTGATTTTTCTTAGTTTCTTTGTGAGCTAATGCAATTAAATTTCATTGTTTTTAATATTTAACAGACAATATTATATTTCGTTGAAATTTAGATGAATCAACCATTATTACTCACAGACATTTTTAGAATCAACTGTTATTCAATTATAATGTTAAAATTTTATATTTACGCTTATCTTTCGATAGCAATAAACACTATAATAATAGAACAAATTTATGATAATTTACCAATACACAATATTGTGTTATTAATGATTGTATAATAATATAATAATATGTACAAAATACTTAACTAATATAAATTGTCCATATCTCCAATGAGGTACCTATATTTTTTTATATATAATCTAGTAGTTACTTATTATTGTGATATATTGATTTCAATCAAAAGCCATATTTTTTACATTTCAATATTGTGTTTTAGTCATTGACAGCATCTAATTGCGACCCCTAACTAGTGTTTATAAGTCTGGAGGAGACTAAGACCGTACTATAATGGGACAATTTCCCTTGCCACATGCAGTTACCGACATACGATGTGAAAACGAATTAGGTATGTAAATAATAATGTTGTATATATTTATTTTTATTAAATTTTAATTAAATATAATTTATAGAATATGACCTAGTTGAAACAAAAGTCAAGTATGGCAGAAAGGCTACTATCGCTCAAGTAAACAATAGTTACTTAAATATTGATAATATAGTATCAGCGTACTTTTTAATTCACCCAAAATTAATAGGTACCTAATACGTTATTTTACAGCTACTAGCTACGATTGTTCAGAGTTTATTACTAGTAAACGTCGGAATGGAGTTGGCAATGGCTACAGTAGTAATTGGTTCACTTTACAAAAATCCAAACGCCGAATTCTTACTGTCTGATACCGAGTCTTCTTGGTACGGTAAGCATATACAGTATCATGATCTATATCTATAACTCAATAGTACCTTCGGTTGTACGTGTCACAGTTCTGCATAATACAAAAAATGTATTGACTAAAATTATTGGCTATTCCTCGTAAAATGAACGTATTTTAAGTGTTGACAGCAAAAATCATATTTTTAAAAAATTAAAAAATAATAATATTTTATCAAATAATCATTATACTATTATATTATTATTGTCATTATTGGGTAGCGTTTTATTGATTACCAGTATTTATGCTGTTTTGTCACGTAAATACGACATGTAGAACGAGATGGCCATAATGTTTTTTCGCATTTTATTGTGTTAGTTGATATAAACAATCACCAAGAAAATTCACCATACTCCTTTTTTTGCAAAACATATAATATAAAAAATGACTTATATGAGATTCAAAGGATATATTTTTTATTGTATAATATACGCATAATATAAGTTCACCAATATTTTTATTTTTAATGTTCCAATATCGTATATTATTTTAAAACCATTCACCGCAATTCTCATACCTACGTATATAATAAATAGTAAACATCGCATAAATATCATGATATATTTTTAGGGAGTATACTCTACTTGTGTCAACCGATCGGGAGTTTAATGTCCGGGTACGCTCAAAAACACTTCGGAAAGAAGTCTTGTGTGGTCCTGGCTTGCGTTCCCAGCATATTTGGCTGGATACTTCTATGGTACGCAAACTCAGTTACCATGTTGTATTGGTCGACCATAACGATGGGCATGGGATTGGGCTTCAATGATGGCCCGGCATACTCGTACATTGGAGAGATTTGCGAACCGAGACTCCGGGGGATCATGTCCTGCGTGATAAATATGGCGTGCCTAGTCGGTGTCTTGTCCAGTTACGGGCTGAGTTACGTTTTCCAATGGAAAACCGTGGCGGCGATAAGCGTCCTGTGCCCGGTTATGTGTCTGACGTTCGTGACATTTGTGAGTTTTGATTGCAATTTTTTTTTTTTATTTCATCAATCGTTTATTACATACTTGTTACTTATTTTCGAGTATAGATACCGGAGAGTCCGATTTGGTTGCTGTCCAAAGGCAGAAATGAAAAGGCCATGAAAGCCATTTGTTGGCTGAGAGGATGGGTAGAGCCTCACGTCATTGCTAATGAGTACCAAGAATTGATGTTTTACTACAAGACGTCTGTCGACAAATCATTGACGATAACGGATTCGAAAGGCATGTTTTCGTCGTTTTTATGGATTAAGAGTCCTTCGGTGTACCGACCACTTCGGTTGGTCACCATTTACTATATATTCACGTTGATTTCGTGTCTAACACCCTGCCGTCCTTACATCGTTAAATTGATGTACGAATCGGGAGTGAAAGATACTCACAGCATAGCTTTAGTGAGTATATTTAAATAACTAACTGCATTGTTATAATGTGTTTAAACAAAATTATTTAAATACTTGTTATTGATATTTACAAATTTAAAATTTTATTTTCGGATTATTAATTTAATTTATTATTTTTATAATAATTATTATCATTTGCTGAATAGTAAATAGTGATTAAAAATTTTAATTAAACATAAAACGATCGTGTTTATGTGTTATTTTTAATGTAAAAATGACAAAATGTTATTCCAATAAGTTATTACTGTTCATTTATTCATTTAAAGTATAGACGGATGGATAAGATTAAAAAAAAAAGGAACAATAATAATATAAAACAAAATATAAATCCTATTTTACAAATATAAATATAACTATATATTTTTTTAAATTTTTTTATTTCAAATAAATTATATTAAAGTGAAATTTGGTAAACATTTGAGTATTAGTTAAATACATTTCAAATTTAATATTTACAGCACTACATATCTAATATAAATAGAATTTCTTATATTTTTTGCATACGTTATCATGACATGTTTTTATTAAATTGTTTTTTATTCCCCCGAAATATAATAAAAATGGATTTAGTTTTATATTTTTCCGTTAGTTATTTATTTCTTAATATATTTAAGGTGCTTTATGGATTTATGCAATTAGCTGGAAGCGTGGCACTCACTTTAACGGTGCGGAAACTAGGAAAGCGAATGTTGACTTTATTAACGTTAGCCATAAATACACTGACAATATTCGTATTCGCTGTATACTTCTTCTGTATTAATAACAACCTGCTTAGTTCCAAAGCCTACGTGCCAATGATACTCTATTCGATAATCATGTTCTTTGGAGCTATGGGCGTATTGACCGTGCCATGGACGTTGGTCAGCGAGATATATCCTAATGAGTAATTTACATAAAAATACAATTTTTACTTTTTACCTTTATATTAACGTGATCATAATATATTAACATGATTTCCGTGTAGAGCCAAAGGTTTTGCTTCTAGCCTAACCACTGCAATTTTTTACGTTCTAACGTTTTCGGCGACCAAAATATATTTAAGTATCGAAAATACTTTGGGCCTAAATAACACCTTCTTCATGATGGCAGCTTCCAGTTTTGTTGGGTTCGTATACCTTTACAGAAATATGCCGGAGACCGAGAACAAGACTTTAATGGAAATTGAAGAATTTTTCGTACCCAAAAGCGAACAGACATCTTCTGAGGTATCACCCGGACCTCGAGCCGTATGATGAATTTTATTTATTTATTTTTTTTTTGTTTTTAGTGTACATAAATGGTTTAGTATTAAAACGTTACCTTAGACAATGTATATACAAATTTGAATTATTAAATATTATTTTGGTTGTGCTACTATTGTATGTGACAATTTCAATGATATTTTTATGGGATTTGCATTGTTATATTATTAAAACATCAGATTCTATAATTATATGTTTCATGTACTCAGTAATATACTAGAAGCACAATAACGAACGTTCACTATTTTGGTATGTAAAATAATCCAAATTCCTTGTTTTGTGTTTGAATACAACTTGTATTAACTTTTAGCACTCGTTTATTTAATTTATTATACGTTGTAAATTATTCCATGTTAGAACTTATCCTTATTTGTTATTATTTTTGAAAGGAACTTGTTAAAACATAATATATTTCACCATCTATTTAGTGAAGTTTATATAACATTATTTTAACAAGAGCAATCATCATATTTAAAATTCAAACCATATTAATATATTATAATATTAAGAACTTCTTGAACATCTATATTTACGAAATATACTAAAATCTGCCATTTTATGAATAAGTTATTTTTATATAGTAAAAATACATAATATTAACTTTTTTTTCATTATATTGAATGTTGTCATAAAGTCATTTTAATGGACAATCACCTAATTATTATTCTTTTTAATTTTTCTGTTATTAATATATAATACGTACAATACAATATTTATTATAATTTATAGTGATTAATTTTATTTTATTATTGCTTCTATCATTAACTATTGAATGCGCTAATGTGTAAATAAATAGGATAGAAAAAATAAAAATGCTTTGTGTACAAAATAATTATTTTATACAAGTCAAATGTCATTATATCAATTAAATATTTTCATTTCTTAACACGTTATTTTGATGTTATAATTTATTTGCACCTCTGTCCGAACAAATTATAAACCTATAACAATATGCGGTTAAGGAGACGATACATTATGGGTTTGACAACAATAATACGACACGTATGCAAATAATATTATAAGCAACTAGCTAAATAAAAGGAAGGAAATAAAAAAAAGCAACAACACTGGAAAACAACGTCAAAAGATTTGTTATACACACTTTTTTTTATTACTTTTATTATTATTATTATTTTAAGGAGGGAACCGAAGTCGTTAAGGTCCGATTATAACAAGGGGCCAGCCACTGTTATCATGTTGGGTATACGCAGTTTATTTTCCACCCTTTATACCGATTCATTTTTAGCTTCTCGACAAACTGAATCTTTTTCTCCGTTACTTTTGTCTCTCATTTTCTCATTCTCTCTCTTTCTCTCTTTCTCTCTTTCTCTTTCTCTCTCTCTCTTACACTCCCTATCTCTCGCTCACTCAATTTTCCATTCTATTTTTTTCACGCGACTTTACCCCCTTGCGCGTCATTTTCTTTCAGCAGCTTAAATTACTTCCCCAACTATCTCAGCCCGTTCCCTGCACACCCACCACCTGACGCAGCACCCGGCGCAAACAATTTTTCCTACATCATCCGCACTTGGCACACACAATGGGCGCCCTTCTTTTTGCCACTTTATGAAACGGTTTTTAATCATGTGATTTCGTTTATTATTATTATTATTTTTTTTTTTTTTGTACTTTTTTCCGCTGTATTTTCCATTTATCTTTTCGCCCCCAGAACCAAAAACGAACATCGGATATTTATATCTATATTTATAATAAATAGTATTAATCATATTCCTTCTTCCGTACCACCAGTGGCTTATAATTAAAAATAAGTATAATAGATGCGATCTCAAAGAAAAATGATACACATAAGTTATTAAAAATATATACATTTTATCTTACGACAACCCTCAATTTAAAAATAAATATGTATTACTTATTAAATGTCAGTTACCTACGTTGCTATACATCAGATACAGCTCAAACATTTTAAATCGGTCCGCAAAAAAACATATAATACGTTATATTTAAACACAACTATCGTGATATACATTTTAATACTCGTATATTAAATTTAAGTGTTAGATTATATTATAATATAAACATATATTAAATATGAGCATTAATATAAATACAACATATGCACAACCCTTCGTCAGAAAGGACCATAAACACGTTTGACAGTTTTAAAAATAATATTTATACTCCCCAATTCTCCATGTATTGATATAGTAAATGCCAACCACATTGCATTGCGTCAAGAGGGTCGTTAATCTATTATGTAGTTAAATACCAATGACCAATTTTGCATTGAATCACTATGGTCTCGGTATGGTGGAATAATATTATGGTCAGTTAAATCGATTATAGAATCGTGAACAATTACAGAATGGAAAATACCAGAAGTCGCTGCGGGAAGTCGTTGAAAGTCAGTACAACCACTTGAAAAAAAATAGGTATATATATAATATAATAAAACCATGCAAGTAAAGAATCATTATCCCACAATGTGGTCACTGGTCGTGCAGTAAACATATTTTACATACACCATATACATTATAAACAAAATGCATACCTATATAGAAAACGAAACACGTTTAAATGACATGTTCCAGAAATGTTGTGCTCAGGGTCGATTATACCAGGTTTATATACGCGTATTAATTAAAAAAAAAAAAACATTAACGCGATAGCTATTAGCATTTTCATGCAGTATTTCGGAACAGTTACGTACTTTTTTGCAAAACTGTGCAAATGCGGAGCAACGGCATTTTCTCTAGGAATATTTTTATCGATTTTTTTGCATATAAACCGAGTCGATAATGAAAAAAAATTTAATCAACGAACCCTATATAATATATAGTGAGTAAAAAAGGTGGTTTTTAGTGACTCTGGGCGCGGTTTAATTAAAAGCAAAAGACGCTCGTTATTTTTATGGTTCAGTACTTAAGGCATTTATATTAGAGCAAATAAAAAAAAAAAAAAAAACATAAAACGTTGTTGGTCTTAAAAAGTACACAATTCAAGGGGAGGATAAGGCGCCGTAGATAAAACTTAAAACACTGAGGTACAACTATATTGAAAAATGTATAATTTTTTCCCGCAAATTTTCATTAGACCTATAAATTATAATAAAGTTTTCAGATTGTGTGTTCAAGAAATTGTTTTTCAGCTATGTCACAGTTTCTGCCCAAGAAATATAGTGTTAAGCTATAGAATATTCAAAATATAATGGACAAAGCGCTATTATTATACATATATATCAAAAAAAAAAAACCATCAGATTCCAGCTACTTCATTAGATCGAATTGGTAAACGGTGTCGAATGATTTCGCGTAGGAAATAACCTCCATTAATTTTCACCCTCAGTGTGAAGGGTATATACACAAAAAACGATAAAACAACAACGGAGGAAACAGAACAAAACGGAAAAAAAATGTGAAAATGAATTTTTTCCCGTTAAGGAGTGCCATTGCTAAGAGTGTTTTTACGTACCCTTTTGTTATAAATGCGTTTCCCGGAGTTCAGAACAAGAGCGTTTGTTTTTTTTTTTTTTTGTTCTTGCTGTCAATAATAAATATGAACCAGCTCAGAACTCATTTCCTGAACGCTTTCACATATTTTTTATTAGATTTTTTCTTGCGTAAAGGGAAACACGCGGTCCATTTTAAAGGGTGACATAATTTTAATATAGGACTGTACAGTGTATACAAAATATTGTATATTATTTTAATAATATATACTTATGTATAACAAGTTCGTACAGTACGACCGTAGTTATCAATTTTATTTGAGAATGGCAAAATTTGATTACTGCTTCTCAATGACTTTAAGCCATAATTAATATAACTTTTTAGAAATTTTTAGTAGTATATAATGTGGTAAACTTTCAATTTTAATAAATTATTAATATTATAAAACAGCCAAAAGTTTTAAAATTAAATAAATATTTTACCTATCTATAAATATTATAATAGTTCTATAAAATAGTCATAATGATATTAAAGACTGCGTGATATTTATACAATTATTAATTGATAATTGCTTGTAGTTTTGTAGTAATTAGATATTAAATTGACGACTTAAATCCGTTTTGGTATTTTCACTTATAATAAGACATCAACTATATATACATTTAACATGGGTGAAATACATTTCAATTCAAAACTTTAGTGTATAATATATATATATTAAACAATTAAAAAAAAAATCAATTTTGATTAATTTTATCCGGTTTACGTCTTCAATATATCTGTATTCGAATAAGAAGTACAATAGCTTCCCCTTTAAAATTCGAAGATGAAACGGATTCTTTAGTTGGCTATAAAGGATCATAATAAAAGTGAACGAGTTTTTAATTTAAATGAAAACTCCTTTCGATAAAACATTTTGTACATATCTTCTCGCAACAAAAAATACGGAGTCGGTCCGCATATTTTACGAGTTCGTCAATTATTTAATGCCCATCCGAGAACATTCAGTTTCTGTTCTTTGAAAAATCTGATACATCTTTTGGCCAATCATTTATTCATATATGCTGTTTTTTTCTTATTTTTTTCCCTTACCTACTAGCCAACAACACCCTCGTGTGTTTCTCTTTATTTTTTGAAACGGCGTGCATCATAAAAAAATATACCCTAAATTTAAGTAGTAAAAACATATCGCAATATTGTAAATCTCCCTTTCTCGTATATATATATATATATATATAGTTACGTTTGCAATCAAAATGGCCCCCCTTTACTCATTCACGATATCATCTGGACTGGATATAATATAATATTTTCAATATAACAGTAAGTTGTTGTCAAGCAAAACACAAGTGTGTGTACAAGCGAATTACGAGGGGCGTAGGTATAGCGAATATATGTTTTATTGAAAAACGAAAATGAACAGAAAACCAATGACACAACTGACGGTGAATAGTATAGTAAAATTATATTATTTATTCCAAACTGTAAAAAAAAAAATAAATGCAAAATAGCATTTGACATTTTTAACAAAATTTTTAGCAGAAAACATTTTTTTCAAAATTATATTTGATAAAAAATATTTAAGTAATAGTATTGAAACCCAATGGTTTCAAATACCGACGTAGTTTTGGGAACCAAAATAGATTTAATATGGTACATCTTGAAATAGGAAATGTTTTGAATCTTTTTACTAAAGTTTGTTAATTCGTATTATATTGTGTAGTAGCTATGCATCAATAAAAAAATGCTCTTTTGTCCTTTTACTAAAAAAAAAAAAAAACTTAAAACGGATAATTATTTTAAATTTAATAGTAGGCTATTATTTTGCACTATTGCAGCAAATAATATTTTATATTTTGCCAACATCTTAGATCGTACATATATAATGTATATACGTAAGTATTAATGATAATATTATAATAATATTATCTACCAACAGTCTTTTGGT